GGCGCCGCGGCGGGGCGCGGCCGCGGTAGGCGCGCGAGGTTGCGCGGCGTGGACACGAAGGACACGCGGTGGCCGAGCAGCGCCAGCTGCTCGGCGAGCTCCAGGTACGGGAGCATGTGGCCAAACGTGAGCCACGGGCACAGCACGATGCGCAGCGGCGGCGGTGAGGACGGCGACCCAGCGGCTGCTTCCATGGCGATGGAGGAGCTCGACTTCTTGCCCTGCCCTTGTGGTTCTCTGGGTCGCACGTACGCACCACCGGAGCGGATCGAAATGGATAAAGTACTCCGCGAGAGTTGGATGAAACAGTGCCGGTAGTTATCTCGTTTGGGCAAGCACATGCAGTCGATCTGACTACTTTGTCCAATAGCAATTGGTAGCCACTCACTGTTTGCTTTGATTACGCTTGTCATCTGGTCGGAGAAAGCAGCACGCTAATTGAACTTGATTTTCTCACGTTGCTGTTCAGACTTCAGAGACACCTCATTGCCTAGCAATATACCGTTATAACCAACACAAAAATGATAAAAAGATGGGACATATCAGCAATCACCTAGCATCTTTTAAGGCTTCTATAGTAATCGTGTGAAAATCCAAAAAATTACCCAAAACAAAAAGGGTTTTTGTCGACAGGACGTTCTTAAATTGTGATTTTGTCTGCTGCTGTCGATTTTGTCTTAAATCGTGGCTTCCATGGCGATAGGAGGAGCTCGGCTTGCCCTGCCTGTGGTTCTCTGTCTAGCACGCACCAGTGGAGCGGATCGAATGGATAAGTACCGGTAGTGTCATCTCGTTTGGAACAAGCACAAGCAGTGAATGCGGTTACTTTTTGTGCAAAAACGAGATGATATGCTCGTCTTCTGTGGTCATAGAAAGCAGCAATTGGCAGCCACTGATTGCTCTAATGATACACTTGTCTCCTGGTCAGAGAAAGCAGCACGCTGATTGGATTTGATTTTCTCATTTTGCTGTTCAGGGTCACCTTATTGCATAGCAACATATGTCTAGAACCAACCAGAATATATTTATTGGAAAAGATGGGCCATATCAGCAGTCACCAAGCATTCTTATACCATTTTTTTAAAAAAAAATTGGTATAACATAGCTCCAAGCAGAGAACTCGTGTATAGATTATCTTATGAAGATTTGAACTCCTCCCTGGTATCTTCAGCACACATATTTTTATTCAGAATAGAATTACATTTTTGTTTTTATACCGCACACAACCTGGCTTATTACATATATAATAAATCAAAATAGAAGCAGAGCGAGCATAGCTCAGCTGATTAGATTCTTTGTGGTGGAACCAACCCACCCAGGTTAAAGTTCCAGATTTAGCAGGAGTGCTGCACATTTATGGCTATTTATTCTTTCAGTAAGATGCGACGTCCACATCGACAGCGAAGCACCTGCGGTGACTTCGTGAATCTCAAACGATCAGTCGGCTTGGTCTTTTGGAGGCTCTCATAGGGGTAGGAGTTGAGTGCATGGGTTCATAGGAGTGAATACTTGTGCATGTTTGAGGAGCGAGTGAAACAACTCGACAACTTGATTTGTAGCTAGCCATCGCCACTTCTTGGCATTCTACTATGACGGATTGGTATCCAGGAATTCTAGCCACCACCGCCTCGATTTGCCATACACCGAGCAAATCGATCTGGCCCAAACCAGCCACCACCTCATCAACCATTGTGACTATCGAAGCACCAAGGTTAGCGCGAATGAAATCCGTTGCAAGCATAATATGGCGACGTGAATCCTACCAACTACAAGGTGATGGCATTGTCTTCCTCCTTACGAAAGGAGCATGGGAGGATGAGAGCATGAGCCACAACCCAGCTTAGTATTGTGGTAATCTTATGTAGTGGAATGACGGCCAACAGCCACCACCACTTTGATCTGGAACTGGCAGATCAGGCCAACACCAATCGTCGCCTTGTTGAAAGGAATCCATCCCGCCCACCTCCTATGGTAAATGCACGTATTAGTAGGTCAGAGAAGATGACCAGTCACCACCATGTCGACACGTTGATCGTGCTAATCATAGGTCATGCCGTTGCATACGCACCACCCTTGTGTTAGGCAGCATCTAATTGCAACTAGAAATCGGGGTATTTGATAATGTGCCATGCTAGCAAGAAATATCACTATATATTTAGAAATCGGGATTAAGTGTTTATTGGATATTTTTATTTTTCTAAAATTTAGCTATTTTGGGCTCATAATGGTATCATTGGTAAATTAGAAATAACAATTAGGGATATTTTTAGCTATCTTTCATAATCCAAATTAACTTTTTATTTTGGACTTGTATTGGCATGGAGGGTAATTTAAAAATAGGTGCGAAGGGTATTTTTGGTTATTTTTTATTATTCTGAATTTAGCTATTTTTGACTCATAATGGTATGGTGGGTAATTTAGAAATAGGTGCCAGGGGTATTTTTGGCTTTTTATTATTCGAATTTAGCTATTTTTAAATATTTTTAAAGGGTTTTTGACTAATTGTTTCATAACGGCAGGGGCGGGTAATTTTATCTTTTTATTTTCTCGATTAACGTGGGATTTTCTAGCATTTTAGAGCGAACAAGGTTTTTATAAATATTTTTAAGGGTTTTTTTTGACTAATTGTTTCATAATGGGAGTGGTGGGTAATTTTCTCTTCTTATTTTTTTGGATTAACGGGGGAATTTCTATCATTTTAGAGCGAACGTGGTGACTCCTTCTCGTCGTCGAATATATATAACTAGTATGGCTGCCAGCGCATTTGCGCGGCTAAACTTACTATACTATTTATAATATTTTTATATTATTGTACAAGATTAGCATAGTTTAGGCCCCGTTTGGAATGGAGGACTTCTTCTCCATTCCTGCGGGAATTGAACTATTTCCTATGAAATTTCTGTAAAATTCCTGCATTCCAAACAGGGCCTTATTGTTGTTACTTATTTTATACTCCATATTTATAAAATAGTAGAAAATAGATTGGAGAATTTTTCACCGTCCTTCAATTTGAGTGTGAGATGAGTCATATCATTTATCTTAAATTGTGTCTTCTCTAACAATGTATTTGATTTTATTTTAGAAATGAGATCGGTTCAAACATGGCATGCTGGACAACAAACATATGTCATAGAAGGAAAAAAAAGAATGTGTCGTGCTACAAATAAATCTTTCGAAGGAAATGTGTCATGCTAGAAATCGGGGTATTTGATAATGGAGAATTGCTGTAGATCTGACCCGGACGTCCGACTCCATTCCCACCCCCATGAATCTATGGCTGCCAGATGCTTAAGTTTTCTAGTGTTTGTGCCTAGTCCCTGCGATGATTAGAGTCGGAAGGCAGTCGGACATCCGGGTCGGACGTATAGCAATGCTTTTGATAATGTGCCATGCATGCTAGCTAGAAATATCACAGTGTATTTAGAAATCAGGATTAAGTGTTCATTGGATATTTTTATTATTCCAAAATTTATTTTTTTTGCTCATAATGGTGTCATCGGTAAATTAAAAATAAGAATTAGGGATATTTTTAGCTATTTTTTATAATTCAATTTAAGTTTTTTTTTGTACTTGTACTGGCATGGAGAGTAATTTAAAAATAGGTGTGAAGGGTACTTTTGGTTATTTTTATTATTCCGAATTTAGCTATTTTGACTCATAATGGCATGGTGGGTAATTTAGAAATAGGTGCCAGGGGTATTTTTGGCTTTTTTAATTATTCTGAATTTAGCTATTTATAAATATTTTTATGGGGTTTTCTGACAATGACAGTGGTGGGTAATTTTCTCTTTTTATTTTCTCGATTAACATGGGAATTTCTTGTATTTTAGAGCGAACGTGTTTTTTATAAATATTTTTTGGGGGTTTTCTAACTAATTGTTTACTAATGGCTATGGTGGGTAATTTTTCTCTTCTTATTTTCTCGGATTAACGTGGGAATTGCTAGTATTTTAGAGCGAACGTGGTGACTTCTTTTCGTCGTCAAATATATATATAATAGATAGATTCCTGTACCTAGAGCTAGAATGACATCTATTTCTGAACAGAGAGAAAGTACAATACAACTGGTACAATTCCTGACCCGCATAGCTCGCCGTCTAGCGTCTTTCTGCATCCCCACGGCGTGTGGTCTTTTGATGCAGCATAGCCAGCGATGAAGCAATAAGGGCCTAAAAGCTCAGTGTCAAGCTCAATGCCCTCGATGTCAGCACCAGTAATGGGCAATCCTTAAACCGCAACATACATACCTGCCAAAGTGAATCCATAAGCAAGAGTGGAACTACAAGCTTGGTAATTGGCACTTTCGTCAGAGACAGCAACCGCAGATTTATCGAGCTGCTGCAGCAGATGGAGATTCAGTAGACGCGGAGTCTGGTGTTTGGTGCTTCAGCAGGGGCGGAGTTGCCATCAGCGGCATGAGATCTCAGTTGCTGTAGGAACTCGTCGATGTACCTCTCGTGAACCTCCTGATCGGCTACAACCTTTTGCATCTTCAGAGCATTCGGTCCAGTCCGGTTAGTAAAACCGGCCGGTTTTGGGTAAAAACCGACACTGAGTACAGTAGCAAAACCGAAAACCGGCCGGTTTTCCCGGTTTACCGGATCTGGTTTGTCCGGTTCTGGTTTCCCCGGTTTTTCCGGTTTTGCAAACCTTGCTCTCCTGTATACACGTATGAGCATTTTGTGCTGCAATCATTGAAATACAAAAGCACCACGGCTGGACATTTTGTGCAAGCGCGGCACATCATTTAGGACTAAAAAAAAAAGCAACATGCTCTGAGCATTTTTTTTTTTTTTGTGATTACACAGTACAACTCAGACACTCACAACGCACGCACACTCACCCCTATGACCGCACATACGCAAACCCTACCCCTATGAGTATCTTCGAAGACTGAGCCGGCAAATCCTCCAAATTGACGAAGTCACCACTGGCGCCTCGCTGTCGACGGCCACGTCGCCTACCGCTGAAAGCACAAAGCCGTTAAATCCTAGAAAATTCGTTCCCGCGGGGAATCGAACCCAGGACTTCAAAGGTGTTACTCGGAAGTCTTAACCACTAGGCCAAGACCCCTTTCGCTGCTCTGAGCACACTTCACATTGTCAAGTTCATAGATTATCGCCTACGACAAAATAAGTTCACATACGACGCACAAAATAAGTTATCGTCATTGTGACACATCTCCGATACAAAATCATATAGTGAGACATCAGACACCTAAAGTCTTTTGGCCTTTTTTGGAGTCATCTTCTTAGGAGTCGTCGAAGTGGTGTTTGGAGTCTCAGAAGAAGAGGCCTCCTGAGAAGTAGCCCGAATGGAAATTTGATGGAATCGAGCTGAGACTTTTCAAAACTGAATTAAAATTTTGTTAAATTGTGTTGAAACCTTTTGAATTTGAGTTAAAACTTCTTGAAACAAACCTGAAAGTTTTTTAATTGACTTGAAAACTTTTAATATCGACTTGAGTTCTCAAAATGCATCTTCAGGTCTGTAAACTTACCAAAATGTGTCATTTGGGTCCAACATTATTATGAAACTACCCTTCTTGTTGCTGACGTGGCTTTATATAACCATAGGTTGTCATATGTTTATCTATAATTATTGAGTCATGTAGTCTAATTTTGTCTTTTAGCATGAATTATAATGAAAACATTTTTTTGCGAAGAAATGAAAACAATAATTTGGGAAACAAAGAATATCAAAATCTATGTTAAAATAGTTGCCCATTAGTAGCCATAATGGTAATTTTGTCTTTTAACATGAATTGTAATATCAATAATAATTTGTGGAAAGAAAGAGTAGGAAAAATCAATTAAAATCAACAGCTCATCAGCAGTCACAAGGGTATTTTCCGTGCTTTGGACATAGATGTTAATATTTAGCAAGTTTAAGGGCCTAAAAACGCATCTTGAGAGTTCAGTGACCTAAGTGACACACCATGAGAAATTTAAAGACCGTTAATCCACTTTATTTTTTTAAAAAAAAACACAGCTCATCTTTTCTCCCGCGAAAGCCATTACAGGTACCACTACTAGCACGATTCTTTATTCGATTATTACACACATAAAGAGACTTGTGTCTCAACAGCAGGGGGCGGAGTGGCCATCACCGGCGCGAGATCTCAGGTGCTGTACGAACTCGTCGATGTACTTCTCCTGAAGCTTCTCATCGGCTACAACTTTTTGCATCTCCAAAGCATTTGCCACAAAGACTGACCTGGTGTCTTCCTCCAGCATGACGGCTCGGACTGCTCTCGCGACGCCCTCGCGGTCGAATGACCCGTCATTCTCGTCCCTTGGCACCAGCAATCCCACCTTCTTCCCCTCCATGAGACGAGCATTGGGCCCTTGGTCCCCGGCGATGGGCAGCATGATGAGAGGGTGCCCGTACAGAAGCCCTTCGATCAGCGAGCTCCGGCCGCAGTGCGTCAGGAACGCGCCCACGGCGCCGTGCGCCAGCACGGTGAGCTGAGGAACCCAATCCATGGTCACCAGCCCGTGCTCCTTCGTGCGCTCCTGGAAACCGGGAGGAAGAATGTCAGCGTCGTCGAGGTCGCCCGCGGGCTTCCTGAGCGCCCACAGGAAGCGTGTCCCGGCGAGCTCCAGCCCGAGAGCCAGCTCGTGCACCTGGTCCACGCGCAGGGGCACCTCGCTCCCCAGCGCGACGTACACGACCGAGCTCGCCGGCTGCGCGTCCAGCCACCGCACGGCGGCTGCGTCCTCTCCGTTCCGGCTGGCGCCACGGCCTCCGTCGGGGGACGGCAGCACAAGGCCGAGGGGCAGTACCGGCTTGCCGAGGAGTGCCGGCAGCAACGGGAGGACCTCTCCCTCCCACTCGGCGCAGCTCCGTATGGCCGTGATCGTGCAGCTCTGCAGTGTCAGGGAGGCACGTTGGACAATGGACATGCCCGACGCGCTGTGCTTGACGTAAAGCTTTGACTTCCCTTCCCACTCGTAACGGGGTACGGCCGGTGGTCGCTCATCAACGTCGGCCCACTCGTCGAACACGGAGCCCGCGATCGACGACCGGACGGTCCATCCGGCGATCATCGCAGCGGTCGGGAGAAGCATGGCGCACGGCACGTTGTGCTCGACTGCGACGGCGGCGGCCCAGTGGTTGAAGGTGTCGGCGATCACCCAGTCCGGCCTCGTCCCTTCGACGGCGCACGCGGCGCGCAGGAACTCCGCAAAGGGCGCGCCGAGGCCGTCGAAGGCCTTCCACAGCAGCTCGAACGTCTCGCCGGAGACGCTGTTGGTGGACTCGGCGCCGTCGGGGAGCCCCTCGACGCGCGGGAGCGGCAGCGCCACGAGGTCCACGCGCGGCGCCGCGGCGGAGCGCGGCGGCGGGAGGCGGGCGAGGTTGCCCGGCGTGGAGACGAAGGACACGCGGTGGCCGCGCAGCGCCAGGCGCTCGGCGAGCTCCAGGTACGGGAGCAAGTGGCCGAACGCGAGCCACGGGCACAGCACGATGCGCAGCGGCGAGGACGGGGACCCGGCTGCGGCATCCATGGTGATACGCGGACCTCGCCTTGCCCTGTCGTTGTGGTTCTGTCTGTGTCGATCTCTCTCGCACGCACCAGCGGAGCGGATCCAATCGATAAAGTATATACTATTCTGCACGAGTTGAAATCGTTATGGTGATAGTACGATGAGCTCGGCTGATTGCCCTGCCGTTAAGTATTCTCCGGGATTTGAAATAAACAGCAGCGGTACAAGCGCATTCGACGAGCGTGACTACTTTGTCCAATAGCAATTCGGCAGCCACTCATTCCTTTGATTATTAATTCTAATCCCAAATCGTCTGATGATACGCCTGTCTTCCGGTCAGAGAAAGCACCGGATGCTTACGATGTTGGAGCATTGGGACGGAAGAGATGAGTATCCATTGTGGACTACGACACGTTACACGTCTGCTAATTAGTGAAAGCAGCCGTAGATTAGTTTAAGCCACTCCTATCAAGGAGGTGGGTGGATCGGTACGGAGGACAAGAGTTTAATTTTCCGCGGATAGAGATTTCAAATAGGCCCAGCACAGTCCTTCGGCCCTGCGTCAAAATCGGCTCATGGGCTACAAACAAAAACCTGACCCCCAATCCAATCCTTTTCGATTTCGCATCAGAACAAGCACTCATAAGCCGAAAAATGAAACCTATTGCAAATTGAACCAAATTCTTTGCAAGTCAATAGGCAAACCACTTCTTTCAGATAAAGGATAAAACATCCAGCCTTTGGCATGTTTTACATGCAACCCTCATAGTTGGCATTAGTACATAAGCATCAAAATTTAAAAGTCGCTCCATGTAAGATGAAGTACAAAATCAACTATACAACGGCCATCCATTCCTAGCGATGTATATGACAATGACCTAACCGAACCATTTAGTAGCCAACAAACTGTTCATACTTAGCTATCCGAAATGAAAACCAAGCTGGAATACACACTACCCTCAATCCGAAACCAAACTAGAAAATTTATGGATTGCCTAGGCCCCCTCTAGTAAGTGCTACTTTATCATATCAACCAGTTGTATATGAGTTGGATGAAAAGCTCGGCATGGTGATGAAGCCTGCCTGCAAATAGTGAAAATCGAAAATGTAAGAAAGAATGCTTTCTCTATTTTGTCCCTGGGTTGTGTCTCTTTCAAAACTTCTCAAGGAAAAAAAAAGCATTTTTCTAGAAACAAAAATAAAGAAAATGCATGAATCTGATCAAAACAATAGGGAGAGAAAAAAGAGAGAGAAAGCGTACATTTCGTTCGCACTAAACAAGACTAACTATCCATTTCTATGTATACAAGTTACATACCCGTGCATTGCTACAGGCTCTGAAAATTTCACAACAAATGAAGTGAATATATGAGATTGTGTATCAACATGAGTATTATAGGGCATTCTATGCGACTCTGACAAAACTTCCATATTCCAAATAAAAGAAAAATATTGGTCTCAAATTTTTAACAACAAACAAGTTTTGATAGAAGTAACATTTTACAAAACTGACGCATACAAGTTACAGCATTAGTGCCCCTGGGCCTAAACATTCCAACTCAAGTTAAACAATCCATTCCTTGTTCTCTTTGTCATATCCAACCTTCACATTTTTCTGCCCTTAAACAAAAAAGAATCCACGTTTTTTTCATCCTTGCTCTGTCATGAATGCTTCTCCTCTTGGCATAAGTTTAGATGCAACTTTGCTTCTCCTCTTGGCATAGGTTTAGATGCAACGATTATATGGTAAACTAACCAATTTGTTCGGTCCCTCGCAAAAAAAAAAAAAAACAATTTGTTCGGTCCCTCGCAAAAAAAAAAAACCTCAAGGTCCATGCGCGGCGCCGCGGCGGAGCGCAGCTGCGGGAGGCGCGCGAGGTTGCCCGGCGTGGAGACAAAGGACACGCGGTGGCCGCGCAGCGCCAGGCGCTCCGCGAGCTCCAGGTACGGGAGCAGGTGGCCGAACGCGAGCCACGGGCACAGCACGATGCGCAGCGGCGAGGACGGGGACCCGACGGCGTCCATGGCCATACGAGGAGCTCAACTTGGGGACAATGACAAGTTGCTTGCTTGTTTACCTGCCTCGGTGGAGAGGAGCGCATCGATGCAAGTATTCTGCAGGAGTGGAAATAAACAACAGCTGTAGTGTCATCTCTTTTTGAACAAGCACGTGCAGTGAACGTGACTACTTTGTCCAATAGCCATTGGCAACCACTGGTTGCTTTGATTATTAATTTCTAATCCCAACAATCATCTCAGTAATCACAACCTAGATTAGTTTAAGCCACGTACTCTGATCGAGCAGATGGATCCGTAGGAAGCGAAAACGGAGAGTGAGAGATCATGCCAAGTTTGTCTGTTGCGTTACGCGCTCGCAACAGCCTTCTCACGGAGAAAATCAGAGACGAGAGACCTTTGGCCCTCGCTCGCCGCTTGCTAAAAGGTGCTAGAACAAAAAACGTGCACATTGCATTGGTACTGAATAATTTGTTGAAATAATATATGATAATTGTACACGATAGACAGTACAAATGTTTGGTTTGCCAGGAAATACAATCACACGTACGTATCCCTTGCACATTAC